GGCTGGTCTGAAACTCCTGAGCTCCAGATCTGCCAGGTGTCAGCCTTCCAAAGTGCTGGGATTACAGGTGTAAGCCAGGCCCTAAGTAGGTGTAAAAATCCCTATTTCATGTAATAAATTGAGGCACCATAAAGATAAGGCCACAAGTCTAAGAACTGGGAGAGCTGGAAGCCCCCCCAGATCCCTTAGATTTGAGCTCAGTATACCAAACTAAGGGGGCAGGGAGAGCTAACTTAATGTTAGCTGGCAGGCTGGTGTTAAGTTTGCAGCAGAATTTTCATTGATTCATGGGAAAATGGGGAAAAGTAAGGACAAAAAAGTAAACTTTTTTTTTTTTTTGAGAAGGAGTTTCACTCTTGTATCCCAGCTGGAGTGCAATGGCACCATCTCTGCTTACTACAATCTTTGTCTCCCAGGTTCAAGTGATTCTCCTGTCTCAGCCTTCAGAGTAGCTGGGATTACAGGTGCATGGCACCACACCCAGCTACTTTTATATTTTTAGTAGAGACAAAGTTTCCCCATGTTAGCCAGGCTGGTCTGAAAGCAAACTTTTTAATATAACTAAATGATTCAATTTAAAGATCTTTTATTCTGGCTGGGTGCAGTGGCTCATGCCTGTAATCCCAGCACATTGGGAGGCTGAGACGAGCAGATCATGAGATCAAGAGATCAAGACCATCCTGGCCAACATGGTGAAACCCTGTCTCTACTAAAAATACAAAAATTAGCTGGGCATGGTGGCGCATGCCTGTAGTACCAGCTACTCAGGAGGCTGAGGCAGGAGAATCACTCAAACCAAGGAGGCAGAGGTTGCAGTGAGCCAAGATCACGTCACCACAATCCAGCCTGGTGACAGGGCAAGACTGTCTCAAAAAGGTAAAAAATAAAATTTATCGTGACAGATTCTGTTCTTTCAAATTATTTGAGTGAAAATATCCTTTTGTTAAATGAAATAATGGTGATGGGACATAGTGGTGTGCTATTTGCTTTTATTGGCTGTACCTGGTAAAAATAAAAAATCAGGCAAGGCATGGTGGCTCACAAGGTCAAGAGATCGAGACCATCCTGGCCAACATGGTGAAACCCTGTCTCTATTAAAAATACAAAAATGGGCCGGGCGCGGTGGCTCAAGCCTGTAATCCCAGCACTTTGGGAGGCCAAGGCGGGTGGATCACGAGGTCAAGAGATCGAGACCATCCTGGTCAACACGGTGAAACCCTGTCTCTACTAAAAATCTAAAAAATTAGCTGGGCATGGTGGCACGTGCCTGTAATCCCAGCTACTCAGGAGGCTGAGGCAGGAGAATTGCCTGAACCCAGGAGGCGGAGGTTGCGGTGAGCCGAGATCGCGCCATTGCACTCCAGCCTGGGTAACAAGAGCAAAACTCTGTCTAAAAAAAAAAAAAAAAAAAAAAAAATACAAAAATGAGCTGGGCATGGTGGCATGTACCTGTAATCCCAGCTACTCAGGAAGCTGATGCAGGCGAATCACTTGAACCCAGAAGGCAGAGCCTGCAGTAAGCTGAGAACACACGACTGCACATCAACCTGGCAACACAACAAGACTCTGTCTCAAAAAACAAAAAAATCAGCATTTCTATTGTAGCCTCCTAATTTTGGGGAAAATATTTCTTTAGAAATCTAAAAGTCTGGCCCTTTACATCATTATGGCCCCAAAATAAAAGAGGACTTTACACACAGATAACACATGTCCCTCAAGATTCTCTCTTTAATCTCTACCTTGTTCTCTTTGGATTAGGACATTTGTGATTGTGAAATGAGAATAAAGTTGAGTATAAGCAATCCAAAACCATGTGCTGACACTGGATCCTGAAAGAGGACTTTCTTCAGAATCTTTTTCATCTGTTAACTTGTCTCTGGGCTCAAACATTTTTTTCATTTGTTTTAAGACAGAGTTTCTTTCTTATTGCCCAGGCTGGAGTGCAGTGGTGTGATCTCGGCTCACTACAACCTCCGCCTCCCAGGTTCAAGTGATTCTCCTGCCTCAGCTTCCTGAGAAGCTGAGATTACAGGTATGCACCACCACACCCAGCTAATTTTGTATTTTTAGTAGAGACAAGGTTTCTCCATGTTGGTCTGGCTGGTCTTGAACTACTGGCCTCACAAGATCCACCCATCTCGGCTTCCCAAAGTGCTGGGATTACAGGCGTGAGCCAGGTGGCTTCAAACTTATTTATTTATTTGAGATGGAATTTCACTCTTGTTGTCGGCTCACTGCAACCTCCATCTCCTGGGTTCAAGCAATTCTCCTGCCTCAGCCTCCCAAGTAGCTGGGATTAGAGGCATGCACCTACCACGCTCACCTACCTAATTTTGTATTTTTAGTAGAGACGGGACAGGGTTTCTCCATGTTGCTCAAGCTGGTCTCGAACTCCCAACCTCAGGTGATCCACCTGCCTCGGCCTCCCAAAGCGGTATTACAGGTGTGAACCACCACACCTGGCCTGAGCTCAACTTTCTTTTCCTAAGGAGTCACATCTTTGAGTAGCACTGCTACATGGCAACCACTATTCAAAAGAAACTAACTTGAGGTGTCCAATAATCAGCTTTCATTAAAGTCTCTTTCAGCTTGACAAAATAAAAACTTTCAATGTTTTGTCTACCTACTTCCAAAAGAAAATTAGTCTACATATGTACATATATGTGATTATATATGTATATATACATATGTGATTTTGAGCAGGCTGTTTATAAACTATTTCCAAAATAAGCTGACCTGTAAATTCATTTATTAAATGAGTAGTTTATAAACTACTTGATTTTTATGAGTAGTTTATAAACTACTTGATTTTTATAAGTAGTTTATAAACAGGCTGATCAAACTGAACAAATTTCTTAAAATAATTTCACTGTATAGATAGCAAGTAAGTTATTTACTCTTATTAGCATATCTTATTTTTATCTGTCCTTAACAAGTGTCTAAGTTAAACTGTTTTCTGTCCACAGTGACACACTGAAACAACACTTTCAGTCACAACATACTAAATTCAAATTTAAACTATAAAGAGATCCAGTTACCTTTAGTCTTACATGTACTTTAATATACTTTTAATATACTTCTTGACGTTTTATGATGCACACACAGCTCTTACAGGACATTTAACTATGAGAATAGAGTGTATGCTTATTAAATGGTTCAAAACTCTTTTAAAAAGTCAACTTTAAGAACTTAAACATACAGTAAAGTACTCCTTCCATGCCCCAATGTTAAAAGGTCTACTAATTTTAGTCTACTTGTTTTTTAAAAAAATCTGAAATCGGTAATAATTCTGCTTAAATTCCATATTAACCTAGGATCAAAAGCCATTTTTACTTCTTAATACTTGAAATGTGCTGCTGCATGTTTTTCTTACATATTTATTCAATCAACTAACTTCAGGTGGAAGGTACTTATGAGTTTAAAAATCCTTTCCCAAAGTGGAATAACATTAAAATTTTGCATAAAAGACACTCAATGTTTCTCAAGGGTATCTGAGGTTCTAATCAGTCTATTACCTTGGTTTGGAATAACCACCACCAACAAATGTGAGCTTTTTGTCACATCTATGTATTTTCCTCTGTAAACTAATACCTACATTTTAAATGCATTTTGAAAATGTTTCATTTGGCCATGTAATAATTATTTCCCCTGTAAAAAGCTACAGGATTTTGGTTTAAGAGCAAATGAGATAGAGTATCTGGTCCGTAAGAAGGCTAAGTGGAAAGATCTGCACCCTGAAGTTTGTAACCAATAACAAGACAAACTCTAATGCTAATTTGTTCATGTAATCAACAATATGTGCATCAAAATAAACTAGTGAGCTATACATTTCTGTCTACATACCAATATACCAATCAACAGGAGGTGAAGAAATTGGTCAAATGTGACTGTTTACTAACATGTTAACAAACACCTAATTAGACATAGTCTCTATTAAAATAATAATCTATCAATTCTGAAATCATTCCTTCAAATTGTTATGTTTGTAATACCCCCCCCATAAAAAAAACAGCAGCAACCATTAAAATGTAAATTCCTCCGTTTTTCAAAGTAACTTGCCTAGGAAAATTTAATGCATTAAAATAAAATGTAACAGACAAACCAATTACAATATTAAAAAATATATACACTAAAGTGATCAGTAACACAAACCAATCGCTCAAGTTTAGCAAAGCATGTGTTTTTAGTCTGTTGTGGGTATCCTATTACACTAGTAAGTAACAACTTTTACAAGTCATTCCAATGCCTAAAAACACCACCATACACACAACATGCTTGTCCTTTACTCCAATGAAGCTTAAACTCAGACCATTTCCCCCTCCTGCCACACTGAAATATACAAGGGGAAATCCAAGAAATCAGATATAATAAGTGCCCGTATCTTCTTCCAGGGTAGGGTCAAACTCGTGTTTGCCCATAAATGTCACTGTCCCAGTAAGTCTGCAAATTCTCACTAGCGCTGGAGTACAAAGAGGCCTGACCAGGAAGACACTGGGAAACGCAATCCCCGAGTCCGCGCCGGCCCCAAAGCTTCGGCTGCAGCGATAGGAGGACAAGAGGTGGCCGCTGGCCTCGCGGGTGCGGCGGACACCCCCGCCCGCCAACCGAGAACCAGGAAACCTGTCAGGCTGACCGGGACCCACCCTCCTCAGACTCTCCCGCTCCAGCCCAGCGCCACCCGCCGCCCCCGCCCGCCCGACGGCACCCGGACCGCCCCCGCCTCGCGGCTGCACTTTCACCTCATCCCTTCCTAGTGGCCTCGTAGCCCCATCACCTACGCTGCGCGGCCTGGGCGTTCGCCGCCCTTCGGGCTGGAGCGCCCAGCTGTCGCCCCAAGCCCGGCCCCGGCCCGACCCCGTCCGTTCCCCGCGGCAGGTCCCTGGCGGCCCAGGCCTGAGCTCCCGCCGCGAGCTCCCCACCCCCAGCCTCCACTACCTACTGGCGCGGCCGCTCCCGGCCCACTCCCCAACCGCTACATGGAGGCAAGGGCAGCAAAGCACCTCAGCCAGGGCCGCAGGTCGCAGAGGGCCGGGTGCTCGGGGTCCCGCTCCTACTCCCACTCCAGGATCCGGGCTGCGCACACGGCATACTGGGCCACCCGCTACCACCACAGCACCAACACTCTCAGAAGAACTGGACGGGCGCCGCCATCTTGCCCCTCCGCCGCCACCGCCTCCTTCCGCCTCCTTCCGCCTCCTTCCGCCTCCACCTCAGCCGCTGCTGGCAGTCGGCCTGATGCAGCCGCCGCGCCTCATTGGCTCCGTCGCTTGTTCCGGACCCTACCCCACGGGCGCAGCCCAACCGCCCCAAAATGAGGCGGGCAGAGGGAGCAAGCTATGCACGGGCACGGAGGGAGGGGGTTGAGCGCGCAGCCGCCCAGGAGGCCGAATTGGCTGACTGAGACTGAGGCTGCGCGTTGCGGGGCGCGTGAAGGGCGGGGCTGGTGTGAGGGGTGGGACTGGGTGGGAGGGGCTTACGGGAACCGCTGTCAGGAACACTTAGCGAGCATCCCACTGTGGGTAGCTGGGTGAACCCTTAGCCCCTCCCTCTGGTATGGCAACTGGTTGCGATCCTTTTTCCCTTTTTTGTCGTTATCACTTGATATTTCTGACACAATCCAAATCACCCCTGGCCAATGCTTGGGGATTCTGAGCCACCCTCCTATGACCTGATGTTCCCACCACAACCTCCAGGCACTTTGTGTTCAACCTGTGCAAAACTTTTTTTTTTTTAATGTGCACAACTATGTTTTAAATTAAAAAACTATTTAAAAAAATGATTTATGGGCCGGGCTCAGTGGCTTACACCTGCAATCCCAACACTTTGGGAGGCTGAGGCAGGTGGATCACTTGAGGTCAGGAGTTCGAGACTAGCTTGGCCTACATGGTGAAACCCCCGCCTCTACTAAATAAAATAAAATAAAAAATTAGCCAGGCATGGTGGTGTGCGCCTATAATCCCAGCTACTTAGGAGACTGAGGCACCAGAATCACTTGAACCCGGGAGGCGGAGGTTGCAGTGAGCCAAGATGGTGCCACTGCACTCCATCCTGGGCCATAGAGTGAGAGTCAAAAAAAAAAAACAAAAAAAAAAACACAAAAAACAAATTTATGAATGCCTTGCTTCTCTGTAAGCTGAATTTGAGGTGCCTTCCCATAATTCGTATCATACAGAAAAATATAGATGAGCTAATAAAATCAGTACGAAGAAAAGGAAAAGTCACACCCTGGCGTAGTGGCTCACGCTTGTAATCCTAGCATGCTGGGAGGCCTGACCAATATGGTAAAACACCGTCTTGACTAAAAATATAAAAATTAGCAGGCAGATCACCTGAGGTCGGGAGTTCAAGACCAGTCTGACCAACATGGAGAAACCCTGTCTCTACTAAAAATACATTAGCCTGGCATGGTGGCCCATGACTGCAATCCCAGCTGCTACTCGGGAAGCTGAGGCAGGAGAATCCCTTGAACCTGGGAGGCGAGTTTGTGGTGAGCTGCGCCACCTCACTCCAGCCTGGGCAACAAGAGCGAAACTCCGTCGTTTTTTTAAAAAAGAAAAAGAAAAAGAAAAAGAAAACAAAAAGTGAGAATAAAATGAAAGGTCAGGAATAAGAACACAGATAAGCCAGTCATAGGGGCTTACACAGTTATGAAAATTGGGTCATACATTTGGCTCTGAGCTTCCTGGTGGCCAAAACTGAGAGGAAAACACATGTATGTGCTTTTATCATTGTGTCTAAGAAGAAACACAGTGTTCTTGGAGACTCTCAGTGTTTCCCTTGTTGCAGCTTTCCATTTTTCAGGGGCTTTATATAGTGAGTTTGAGTAATAAGCAATATCCTTGTATTCATTACCTATTGTTGGGTAAAACTCGCCCCAAATTTAGCAGCTTAATAAACAATACACGTTTATTTTTCCTCACAGTTTCAGTGGGCTAGGAATCTGGAAGAGGTTAGCTGTGTCCTCTGGCTCAGGCTCTCATGAGGATACAATCAAGCTGTCAGCCAGGGCTGCAGCTCTCGCAAGGCTTCACAATCCTCTTTCAAACCCACTTCCACAGCTGCCAGAAGGCCTCAGGTGCTCTCTGTTGGCTGTAGGCCTCAGTTCCTGTCCACTTGTACCTCTTCATAAGAAGCAGCTGGCTTGCCCCAGGGCTAGGGAGGAGAAAGAGGAAGAGAAAATGAAAACGAGAGAGTGATCCTAGTCCTTTTTTTGTAACCTAATTCCAGAAGTAACATCCCATCACTTTTATGCATTCTATTGCTACTTAGAAAATAGCACCTAGGTCCAGCAAGATATGATGGCTCACACTTGTAATCCCAGAATTTTAGGAGGCCGAAGTGAGTGGATCACCTGAGGTCAGGAGTTCAAGACCAGCCTGACCAATGTGGTGAAACACCGTCTCGACTAAAAACGTAAAAATTAGCTGAACGTAGTGGAACACGCCTGTAATCCCAGCTACTTGGGAAGCTGAGTCAGGGCAATCACTTAAACTCAGGAGGCAGAGGTTGAAATGAGCCAAAATCATACCATTGCACTTCAGCCTGGCCTAGAAGGCAAAACTCCATCTCAAAAAAAAAAAAAAAAAAAAAAAAAAAAAAGAAAAAAGAAAAAAGAAAGAAAGAAAAAAAGGAAAAGAAAAAGAGTCTCAATAGTCCTTAGGTCCAGCCCATGCTCAAACAGAGAGGATTATACAGGACATAAATATGAGGAGGCTGTTTACCACAGTCCTCAAAAACATCCTTACTCTGCCCGGGTGGGGTGGCTCACAACATTTTGACAGGCTGAGGCAGGAGGATTGCTTGAGGCCAGCAGTTCGAGACCAGCCTGAGCAACATAGGGAGCTCTGGTCTCTGCAAAAAATATACAAAATTAGCCAGGTGTGGTGGTGCATGCTTGTTGTTCCAGCTACTTGGGAGGCTGAGGGGGGAGGACTGATTGAGCCCAGGGTTCTTGGGATGGTGGTGTGGGTTGAGGCTACAATGAACAAACATTGCCCCACTGCACTCCTACCTGGATGACAGAATGAGATCCTTGATTCAAAAAAAAATCCTCACTCTGCATCCCTAATGATTTTCATAAATCTAAGTGGACTCCTGCAGCTTCCCTTCACATAGATTCCTTTACTCAGTTAATGAGATCTCTTGATCATGTGGCTTCTTTTATGTCTGGGAGGTTTACCTATTTTATTGTAGATAGTGACTGTTACTTTTCATTACTGTGTAATAATACATTATATTACATATCCAAAATTTTATTTATCCATTCTACTGCTGTTGGACATCTGGCTTATTTTTAGCTATCACTAATTAAGTTGCTATGAATTCTATAAATGACTTTTGGTGGACATAAGCCCTCATTACTTTCTTTTTTTATTTTTTTAATTTTTTGTATTTTTATTTTTATTTTTTTGAGACGGAGTTTTCGCTCTTGTTACCCAGGCTGGAGTGCAATGGCGCGATCTCGGCTCACTGCAACCTCCGCCTCCTGGGTTCAGGCAATTCTCCTGCCTCAGCCTCCTGAGTAGCTGGGATTACAGGCACGTGCCACCATGCCCAGCTAATTTTTTGTATTTTTAGTAGAGACGGGGTTTCACCATGTTGACCAGGATGGTCTCGATCTCTCGACCTCGTGATCCACCCGCCTCGGCCTCCCAAAGTGCTGGGATTACAAGCTTGAGCCACCGCGCCCGGCCTTATTTTTTATTTTTTAATTGGAGAGAGAGTTTTGCTCTTGTTGCCCAGGCTGGAGTGCAATGGGGAAATCATGACTCACTGCAACCTCTGCTTCCTGGGTTCAAGCAATTCTCCTGCCTGAGTTTCCCAAAATGCTGGGATTACAGGCATGAGCCACCCTGCCCAGGCAGCCTGAGCCCTCATTTCTGTTAGGAATACGTCAGGAGCGGAATTGATCAGTGAGATAGTATTGATTGCATGGATAAATACTGCCTCTGTCAATTCGGGTGCTCCAAGTGAGAAGGTACAGTAGCCTGCAGGCCCACACAAGCATGAACATTAAAAAAATATATTGAATTTTTTCAAGAAAAGAGCACTTAACCCTGAAAAGTCATTGAACAACGTGATAAGCAAGAAGGTAATCATAGCCAACAGCACAAGCATTGGCCCAAGACAAGTCTGGCTCTGGCCAGCAAAATGTTAAAAAAGGGTTCATATACGTCATAAAATAGTAAGAGAATGTGCGTGTGTGAGAGGGATGGGAAGTCAAACTAAAGAGAAATAGTGTAAAGAGAAAAGAGAGCCGGGCGTGGTGGCTCAAGCCTGTAATCCCAGCACTTTGGGAGGCCGAGGCGGGTGGATCACGAGGTCAAGAGATCGAGACCATCCTGGTCAACATGGTGAAACCCCGTCTCTACTAAAAATACAAAAATTAGCTGGGCGTGGTGGCGCGTGCCTGTAATCCCAGCTACTTAGGAAGCTGAGGCAGGAGAATTGTCTGAGCCCAGGAGGCGGAGGTTGCGGTGAGCCGAGATCTCGCCATTGCACTCCAGCCTGGGTAACAAGAGCGAAACTCCGTCTCAAAAAAAAAAAAAAAAAAAAAAGAGAAAAGAGAGAGAGAAGCTTTTTCTTTTAAAAACTCAAAACAGCTAAGCCAAAACATGTTTTAAAAGTTTTAAAAAGGAAAACTGTAAAGTAATAGAGGAGTAAATTGTGGGAAGTAGAAAAGTTCCTGTGGTCCCAACTCCACAGGAGGTTAAGTGGGAGGACTGCTTGAGCCCAGGAGTTCAAGGGTGCAGTGAGCTATGATTGTGCCATTGCACTCCAGCCTGGGTGATAGAGGGAGACCCTGTTTTAATAAGAAAAGTTTGGGGCCAGATACAGTGGCTCGCATCTGTAATCCTAGCACTTTGGGTGGCCAAGGCAGGTGGATCACTTGAGGTCAGGAGGTCGAGACCAGCCTGACCAACATGGTGAAACTCTGTCTCTACTAATTAGCTGGGCATGGTGGCGCATGCCTGTAATCCCAGATGCAGGTGTGTGCCACCATGCTTGACTAATTTTCTTTAATTTTGTACAGATGGGGTCTTGCTACATTGCCCAGGCTGGTCTCAAACTCCTGGGCTCAGGTAGTGTTGGAAATAGATGTTGGAAATAGATGCTCGGTACCACAAAGAAAAATTAGCACTGAGACAGCTGATCTTTCAGCAACACAAGTTTTACTTCCTGGACTGCAGGAAGGATACTCCTGGTAGCCATTGTGCCATGGGAGTACAATGAACAAAGGAGGAACCAGGCGAGCTGATCCCAGTTCGGTTTCATAACACAAGAAGCAGATGACAAGGTGGAATTTGATGTGCAAGAGACTGACAGGAAAAAAAAGCCTGTGAAGAATAAAGGAAAGGGGGAGCAAGAATAAGCATGGATGGGCCAGGTGAGG